ACCGCTTCGGTCATCCCTCTTTTATACCGTTCTTACCCCCAAAATGTCCCCCCTCCCGTTTTCCTGTTCTGCTTTCATGTCAATGTTATCTATATTTTATTGCTGACTACACATCTGGATAAGCAACCCCTCCATGCAGATCATCCTGACTTGCCATATATCAGGAGTCCTTGCAGATAGGCAACCCCTCCATGCAGAGCCACCTGTCATGCCATTTATCAAGAGTCCTTGCACTTTGAGACTAAGTATTGACTAGCTTATTAGCACACTCTACATTAACTATTTAATCCCTACAGTACTGAATAACCCAAAATGTGGACATTATTTCAGTTTTAAAATGGCTACATTTGATTTTTTCCCCCCTCATTGACTTAATCAAAACTGAAGTACTTTAAACTGAAACAAAGATGGCCACAGAGGTGTTTTCCCTTGTTTGAACAGATGAGCCTAACAAATAAGTTTGACAGAGAGCTGGAAAGGTGTGTCCACTAGTGAGCAGGTGACCTTAGGCACTGAAATACAGTCTCAAAACCATGCTCAGATACCATGAAAAACAAACATGGTCCTGCAGCTTGGTGAGGTGGGACACCCAGCACTGTCACAGGTGGGCAGGGGTCAGTGCTCAGGGACTGGAAGCTAAAAGGGACTCGGTAGGTGACAGGAGGCTGCTCCCACCCTCTGGCATCCTCTGCTAACAGCCATCCTTACTTGCCATAGGGATATGCATTTTTTCCAGAATACGAGATACTTCCCTTGTATGTGTACAGCACTGGCCAGATACTGATGTTGGTAAGAAGTGCTTATAATTTTGTTTCTCATAGGTTTTTTTTTTTTTTCCAGGAGACCAACCTTTTCTCACAAAAGAAAGAAACTTCTCTGAATTTTAAATCCACAATTGTCTCTTGCTGTCACATTTTGTTACTTAGATACAAATAATGTATGAAATAACTCATAGCTTGTAAAAAAAAAAAACAGGAAGGAAAGAGGGAACAGATAAAAAAAATACGTACCCTCCATTTTTCTCTGAATGCATTTTGATCTGTTTACCTAGGTCTTCTATTTATGTTCTCTCTTTGCTGTCTTTTATCTTTATTACTACAGTGATAAAGCTGAAAAAGAACATGAAGAAGAAAAACATTGTATGAGAGCTGTTTTGTATTAATTAATTGTGGACGAATTGTTTGAAAGTGGGAACTGAGAGAAAAACTAGGGCCTAACAGAAGTTTTGGCATTACAGAAGCTTGCTTGGGGTGATACACAGTTGCCACTTCCAGGATGGTTGGTACGCACAGACTCAGCTCCTCCACGGTTCCCTAGGCAACACAATCTGCCCTCCTCACAGCTGCAAAGGGGAGTAATGGAGGATGGAGCGGACTGAAGACACCGTGGCCAAACTCTGCTGCACTCCCTGTGCTCGGCTGCTGATAAGCCGCACAGTGGCTGTCTAATGGGAAATATACAATAACATGTCTGGTGCTGAGGCAGCAAGGCTGGCAAATCACTCCTTTCAGATGAACTTTGCTTGAACTTTGCTCATTATAATGTCAAAACCACACCTCCATCCCAAAAGTTACCCGCCTCCGAGGTACGACCACTCCTCACTGAGCATGAGCTCTAGATTTTCGGTTGACTGTACCTTTAAATGAAAGCGAGAAACTTTTTCCCCAATCAATAACAATATTAAGTATGACTCTAGTCACTCAAGCTCCACCTGAATGTAAAG